TGCTGTGGCTCTGTGTAGGACCAGGTGTCCGGGGGCACGGAGGCACTGACTGGCTCTTCTCTGGCTTGCTTTTTCAGGAGATCAACAAGACAGGGAGGATAAAACCAGTCATGAACTCCTGGCACAGAGGTACCCATTCCCAAGGAAGGGTTTGTGGGACGTGTTTGGCACAGGCATCTTGAGGCCTATCACTGCTCTTGGGGTGGGGGCCCAGGGTGGCCTTGGGGTCTCTGCCTCAGGTGGATATCATGGGATTGCCTCTACTCTGGGGATGGCAAGCCCCATGGGCACTCCGTATCTCTGAGCAGCCTTGCATCACTAGTGGGAGATGGCATGTGGGGCATCATGTAGGAAAGAGCTGTGGGATGGAGGTCAGACCTGGTGATGGGCCACCTCTGCAGGCTCAGCAGGAAGCTCCAGGAGAAGGAGAAGGTGATTGAGAGCCTGGAGGTGAAGCTGCAGGAGCGCTCTGAGTCCCCAGGTAGCAGCTGCCCGCCCTCGGAGTCATCCCACTCCACCAGCAGCTCATCCTTCACCTCCGAGGGGCTGGAGCCCTGCTCCGATGGGGATGCGGCCAGCGAGTACAGCCAGTGCCAGGAGGAGCCCGCCCAACATGCAGGTACTGCAGGCTGACCAGGAGCCACAACTGCAGTGCCTCTGCTCACAGGGACTTGGCTTCTCGGGGTGTGCCATGGTCCCCAGAGCACCAGGAGAAGGGGTCTCTGCCAGCCTGAGTCAGAGCCACTGTAACACCTCTCTCCATCTCCCTCCTGTCTCTAGGCCTTCACTTTGACTCCTTGTCCAAACCCGTTAGTGCCCCCCTGCCTGCCCTGGCCCCCGGGCTGTCCCCCTTCCTCCCTGCCGGGCCCCCTCCTCCTGCGGCCCCGCCACTCCTGGGCTGCTGCGGGAATTCTGTCTGCTCCCTGGCTGAGGCACAGCAGGAACTGCAGGTGCTCCGGAGGCAACTGGGAGAAAGTGAGCACACTGCCTCTTGGCTTGGGTTTGGTCCTGCCTGCCCTGCATGCTGTGCTGTGACACATCATCCCCCACCCTCTCTCACCTGCATGTCCTGCCCTTGATCTTCTCCTTCTCAGGGCTGTGGCTTTGAGGTTGGATCCCACTGCTCTGGCTGGGGAACATGTGTCTTTCATGTAGAGAGGACCTGGTGGGTTGGAGGGACCCATCCAGAGACAGCATTAGCCCTAGATGTAGACACTGGCATATTCTGGGTCTTCTAGGAAAAGGCTGATTTAGTAAGGTGTTGTGTAGGAGTGGGGCTGAGACCCTCCACCTTGTGTCATGTAGTCATCAAATCCTGGGAGATCCCCTGCTCCTCAGGGAGAATAGGCTTGACTGGGGCAGGAGGTCAGTGATAGGGGACACTGGATCGCACTGTTGAGCAGAGCAAGAAGGGGGGAAAAAGCAGATGGAGGGAGTGTGTTGCCCCATTCTTCCTACCTGCTCATTGTCCTTCTCCTCCTCCCCACTTTGTCCTGTGTGTGCAGGTGTGACGCTGCCCATGGCACCAGCAAAGCCCACAGTCCCGCTGGGCCCCTTTGGAGAGGGCAGCAAAGCCCCAGCATCGTTCTGCCACCACGGAGCCCTGCAGGGCCCGGCCGAGCTGCCCGGGGCCTCCGGCACCCGCAGCCTCTGGGACGTGCCCCCGCCCGGCCAGCCGCTCTATGGGGCCCTGCCACCAGGGCACCTCTCTGGCCAGAAGCTGACAGGTATGGTCCACGCTGGAGAGCACAGGGGCATCCATCCCACCCACCTGTGGGGCACCACGACAGCTGTGGGACAGGGCTCTGCTATGGAGAGAGGCAGGTGCAGCCTTTCCTGCCCTGAGCTGTGTCCCTGGCTGTGGCAGGGGCAGACCTGCTGGAGGAACACCTGCTGGAGATCCGCAGCCTGCGCCAGCGCCTGGAGGAGTCCATCTGCACCAACGACCGGCTCCGGGAGCAGCTGGAGCGCCGCCTGGCCTCCACCGGCAAGGCCAGCGGTACGGCGTGCACGGCGTAGGGGCCAGGCCTCTGCACATCCCTCTGCTCACCCCGAGCACAGCCGGGCACTGGGGAGAGACTCAGCACTGTCCCCTCCACAGGATTGCCCAGTGATGTCTATGGCCAGACACCGGAGCTGGGGCTGCAGCTGAGCAGGGAGAACCAGGCTCTGCATGAGGAAAACCAGACCCTGCGACTCCAACGTGACCACCTCTCCCAAGGTAGGGCTGGGCTGGCGTCCTGGGGCTGAGTCCCAGAGAGCACTGGCTGAGTGGGGTGGTGGTGACACCTCCGTGCTCTCTGTCCCCAGAGCTGGCACGGGTGCAGGAGGCACTCATGGCTGCCTGCTCCCGGGCACGGGAGGCTGAAGCAGAGCTGGGCCAGAGGCGTGGGAAGCAGCGGAGGCTGGCGGAGGAGCTCTCCGAGTGCCAAGAGAGTGTCCGGCAGCTCCGGGATGAGCGGCGCTCTCTGCAGGAGGACAAGAACAGGTAAGGTTAGGGGTGTGGTAGCCTTGGGGCCACAGGACTGGGAGGGCTAGCTGGCACCCATGTGTCACCTCTGCAGGCTGCAGCACTCAGTGACACTCCTGCAGCAGCAGAGTGAGGAGCAGCGCCTGCTCCTGCAGACCCTACGCGCAGAGCTGCACGTCTACGAGAGCCTCCCTGGCCCCTCTGCTGAGACACGAGCAGGTATGGCACCCATGCACGGCATCCCTGCCCCACTCCTGCCCTTGGGGTGCCTGGCCTCTCTGCAACCCTTGGGTGGTCCCAGACACTCCTCTGGGGCAGCAGATGGCACACAGTGGCCATGCTGGCAGGACCCCAGCAGCCCCAGGCACGGAGCCACATCTGTGTAGGGGCTCAGACGTTTCTTGTTCCAGGCTGCTTCCCATCTCCTCCAGTGCGCGATGTGGGCACTAACTCAGCAGCTCCCCTTCTCTCCCCACTGCCCTCCAGCATGTCAGTGCTCCGACGGATGGACGGTGGGTTCTGCTGAACTCGTGGCAGCACCCTTGCTGAGCAAGACTGGAGAGCTCAGAGCAGAGTCAAGTGCCCGGGATGGGACAGGGTGGGTCACGAGGGGAGTGGGCAGTGGTCCTCACCTAACCCACCTTGCTCCACAGAGCCACGTGGGGCAGACGCGCTGCTGAGGAAGAGTGAGGGACTGACAGGGGCTCACGTTGTTGGCCGTCTGGACACGTACCGAGCCCTGGAGCAGCACATCGTGGAGGGAAAGGCCTTGGCCCGGGAGCTGATGTGTCTCACACGCCCAGCACTCGGGCTGCCCAACTGCCCGCTCCCGGGAAAGGAGGTAAAGCGTGGGCAGGACGGGGCAGGCAGCAGCTGGGGGCCAGGCCCTCAGCACACCGTGCATTACGTGGCTCCCGAGCCCAGAACCGGCCCCGAGGGCTGCAGAGGCAGCTGGAGGCAGGGAGCCTCCAGCCCAGAGCACGGTGACTCCGCGGGTGCAGCGGGATGGGGGTGCCCCAGCAGCACCTGCTCCCGCACCCTTCTCCCGCAGGCCCTGGGACGGACAGGCACGGGGCGGGGGCATCTGTGGGGCAGCGCCAGCACCCTGCACGGCATCCTGGAGGAGTGCGTGTCTCTCCTCGCTGCCTTCTGGAGCACCGTGCTGCCCGTGAGCCCTGCCCAGCACCAGGGCAAGGTGAGCAGGGGCTGGGGGCCGGCAGGGCACTGGTCTGGGTGCTCACTGCTCATCACCCTCCTCTGTCCCAGGAGCAGGTGCTCCAGGGCGAGATCGTGGCGCTGCGGGCCCGGCTCTCCGAGAGGGAGGACGCTCTGCAGAGCACGGCCAGGCGGCTGCGCAGCACAGCCCAGCTCAAGGACAGCATGGAGCAGTTCATTGTCAGCCATCGTACGTGCTCTGGTGGCACAGCCAAGCTGGCCTGCTCCTCACATGCCCGACGTGGTGCCGCAGCACAGGGACCTCACTGACCCCATCTCTCTCTCTCCTGCAGTGACCAGGACCCACAGTGTTCTGCGCAAGGCCAGGACAAACCTGGAGGTGAGTTTGCCTTGATGGCCAGGGTGGGTGTCCTGGTCCCGATGCCCTGGGGATGGACATGGATGGCACACGATGGCTGTCGTGGAGTGCTAAGGGCTAGCTGGGTGAAGTGTGTGTGGGACACAGGGATGCATTTTCCTTTTCTGTCCTCAGCTAGCATGCGCATGTCCCCAGGGCACAGTAGTGCTCTTCCTTATTGCCCCATGTCATCTCTTGCCAGGTGAAGGCCCAGCAGGCCCTGCCTGTTGCGTGAGCCCGTGCAGGGCAAGGAGCAACGGTCAGCATGGAAGAGCCCACTGGCTGCTGAGCCGTGCTGTGCCAGAGGGCTGGAGTGGACCCTGTCCCTGCTGCTCTGAGGGCCAGGGTGAAAGGACTCTGGGGTGTCCTGTGCTACACAGTTAGTGGGTTTGGGCTGCTGTGGTGGTTGCATGTCCTCCACCAGCCTTTGCTTGGCATGGCAGCAGCAGCTGCTGGTTTGGCCTTTGTCTGGCCCATGCTTCAGCACTTGCTCCCTTCCATCCTCAGTGCCCAGAGTGGGGTGACACAGCCCCCCATGCTGAGCACACTTTGCCCTGGGACCTGGTCCCCTCTGTAACCCTGATGAGTCCCTGTCCCTGCTTGTGGATGTATGTATATGTATATGTATATAGACAGAGGTAACAGGAATGCGTTTTGGGGACTCCACATGTGTCGGAGCCCCGGCGCAGGAGGAAGATGTAAGAAATGCCATATTCTGTTCAGTGGCTGAAGAGACTCCAATAAAGGTTTCCTTTGGGTTGTGTTGTCTCTGGCATGCCTGTCTCTGCAGCTGTGCTCCCCCTCCCCAAACCACCTGCAGCACAGGATGCCAAAGGCCCTGGCTGTGCCCAGGGGTGGCTCTGTGCCCTACACTAACAACACAAGGGCAGCTCTGTGCTGCACTGGGTGCTCCCTTTCCTCCTCTTCTAGACCCCCTCTCCAACACCAGGCAAGCAGCACCGAGAACAATAAATACTGTAATAAATAGAGAACCCCCTGTCCCATTGCACTGCTGCGGCAGCAGGCGGTGCAGCCGGGGTCCTGGAGTGCCTGCCCGGCTCTGCTCTTCCCAGGCTCCTCCAGCATGGGCATGTGCTGGTGGCCTGTGGCTGTGACAAAGTGAGCCCTATCCCACAGAAGCAGCTGATATTGGGAACAGGGTGCTGCAGTCCTTGATGGTGCTCTCACAGCAGCAGGTAAGAGTGGCTGTGTCCAGCTGTACTGTCCATCATGCTGGCTCGACGCTGAACCTCGCAGAGGTTCAAAAAAGCTGGGGGGCAGCCCCACAGCCAGGGCTGTGGAACAGGGGGGAGGTGTCAGGCTGGAGTGTCACAGAGCCCCTAGCAGACAACATGGCCTTGGAGATTCAGCACCAGGACAGCAGCACAACCTTCAGAACAGGATGTGTTCCTGGAGCCTGGACTGGGTGCAGTGCCAGGACCACCTTGAGGCCCTCAAAGGCTGGAGAAGACAGGCAGGGTGAAACCCTTTTCATGTTGGGCATGAGAAAGGGCTGTTCTGGTGAGCAGCAAAGTGGTCCCAGAGACTCACAGAAGCCAAGGGAAGCTGCAGGTGGGTGGAAACCAAGAGCTGAACCACGCCGGTAGGATGGGACAGCGTCACAGGCCCCAGTGGCCCTGAGCTTGTTGCTGGGGCCCGTGTCCCTGCCAGGCTGGAGGCCGGAGCCAGTGGCTAGCTGTCACACAGTCCCGTGGCCCAGTGTGTGCAGACAAGCGGCATTTCGTGTCCTGCGTGGGGAGCGCGTGAGGCCCCAGCTCAGATGGGCTTGTACAGCAGCGTGGTGACGTACTTCTTCTTGTAGCGGTGCGTGGCACTGAGCACCATCACGCCATCCTGAGGGAGACAGAGTCAGCATGTGGGGCTCAGGGAGCTGCCCCTGCTGTCCCCAGTGCCACAGCCAGTCCAATACACCACAGGGCAGCGGGGCAGAGCAAGGGCAGGGTCTGATACATGCTTAGCTCCCTCATGCTGCAGTGAAGAGCTAGCTGAAGGGAATTGTCAGGAAGTCACACCCTCTGCCCCTCTACGTGCCACCCCTCAGCAGGCAGCCAGCTCCCATCTGCACCCCCAAGCTGAGCAGGTTCTGCTCCCTGCAGGTGCTGCAGGCTCCTGGGAGCCACAGCACTCCTCACCTGCAGCCTTGCAGGACCCACGCTTACCTTGATGGAGAGCGCATAGAGGTGATTGAGCATGACGTGGTTGGGCTCGGGCAGCAGTGCTGGGTCACACTAGGAGGAGAGGAGTGTCACAGGGGAACAGCAGAGCCCTGATCCCCCAGCCCCTGCCAGCACAGGGAGCTGCTGTCTCAGGCAGCTTAAGCTGTCACCGCCTCTGGCTGTTCTGATCAGGAATAGCTATGCTAAGCAGGAGGAGCTAAGCACCAGAAGGCCAAATCAGTGTGCTAAGTGGGAAAAGTGATGCCTTTCCTTAGAAATGCCAAGAGCTAGACCCCAGTCAAGGGGAGCGCAGGCTCCCTGCAGACAGGACTCCCTTTCCAACCCCAGTGTGGCTCTCTCAGTGGGCAGCGTGCTGGTACACACCGAGATATTGGTGTCCTTGTTGAGGATGACCTGGAGGAGGTGAGGTGGGAGGATGGGTGGGGATTTGAAGCGCTCCTCGGGCCGGTATACGTACATCTCCTGGCCATAAGGCCCTGGTGGGGAGCTGGATAAATCTAGAGAGACAACAAAGGCAGAGACATGAAATGACTGAAGCAGGATGGGCGAGCACAGAGCAGCTCCTAAGAAGGACTCATCAAGGTCTTTCAAGCACAAACATTCTCCACAAGCCATGCGCAGGGATCTATTCTATAGCAACAGGTCAGCCTTTTCACATCAGAAAAAGCAGCTGGGTGAGCCCATGGCAATCCCAAGCAGGGCTGTAAGCTGGTACACGCACTGACACAACACAGGCACCCCATGATACCCAACACAAGAACCTCAAGCACAGCTCTCAGCTCAGCCAGGTCCCTGCCCTTGCAGGAAGCAGCTGGCTTGCTCCAGAGCTGTGCCTGCAGCAGCAGGAGCACAGGGAGCAGGTTGCTCTAGGTGCTGCCTGATGAGGAGGTCCAGGGAAGGCAAATAGGAACTCTACACTGATCAACTGTTCCAAACATGGGAGGGACCTGGAGAGCTCGTGGTCACTGAAAGCTGGACTGGCTGCATCTCCCAGCCACATCTGATCTGAACCTTTGGGAACAGCCAGCCCCCAGAAGGGCTCTATCTCCTTGGGCTGCTGCTGCTAGCTGGCTTCTCTCCAGCAGAGCATCTCTTGCCCAGGCTGGGAAAGGACATGGAGCTGAGCTGTACCTGAGATGGGGCTGTACCAGGGACACACGACTGAGCTTCCTGCCAGCATTTCACACTGAGCCAGCACCACTGCTCCCTGTGTGGTAACCTAACCTGCTGCTGTAACACAAGCAGACAGGGAGGTCTGCAATGTGCTAGCACTGGTACAAATTACCTTGGCATGAAAACCAGGAGTAGATGCTGAAAATAAACTGGATCCTGCTATCACCTAGCTTGTACCCTGGATCAAATGACTTACAGTTGACCAGACAGAAAGGACCGATGTTCCTGGCATTTCCCAGTATGAAATGGCTCCCTTGGCTACACACTGCAGCAGCTCTGCTCTGGGATGGTGCTAGCACAGAACAAGTTACACCAACACAGCCCCTCCAGAGAAACAAGGCCTCAGCTGTGGGCTGAGGAGGACATGCCCAACACCTTCACCCCCAGTGAAGGCCCAGGGGGTCTGTGCACCCAGAGTACTGAGTTTCACAGCAGAGAAGGTGGGAAATAGCACATGCAAAGCTGTAATGCCACAAAACTCACCCCGACCTGAGGTTTCTGAGCTTTCCAGGGAATCCACCTTCAACGCATCAAACACCTCAAAGTCAGACTTCTTGACGTGGATGAGGTTGTTTATTGTCCCCATCTGGCTGGTAACCACAGGCTGGAAAGAACTAGAGTGAGAATCTTACTGTGTTCACCTCCAACTGAGGCACATTCAGTGCCTCCTAGATCCTCCCAGCCCAAGCTGTCTTTGCTGCAACACTACCTCCAAGCACAGGTGGCTGATGTCCCTCCCTGCCCTATGCTCGCAGACCTCTACTGTTCACCTGGGAGGATTTTCCTTTATCACAGGCTCCTACACCACCTCCTGTTTCCATCCTTCATCCTGCTACATGCCCATGGGTAGGTGTGTTGTCCTTCCCATGCTGCTCCCCCACGATTCAGTTTGGAGAACCTGTAAGTGCTGCCTTCATGGTCCATCTTCCCATTGCCAAATCTCAGTGGGACCTGAGGGCCTTCTGGCATTTCCCTGTCCTTTCCCAATGCTTCCCCATAAATCATGACTAAGTCCAGAGGAACCGGCCTCTAAAATGAGTCAAAAGATAGAGGTGTGCCTTTTGTTTCAGGAGATAGTCTCTGCTCCTCCCGTTCCCCCTCTGCTGCAGTTACATCCTGTCTAGTTCCCTGAAGAAGACAAGATCTGCAAGGATAAAGCTTGGACATTACCTCAGATGGATCATGGACCCACTGGCCATCCACAAAAAATTTGTATTGGTGCTCTCCTTCTGGAAGGTCCAGGATAGCAACAAAGTCATTGTGGCTGTGCAGAGAGAACAGATGTGCAACAGCATCAGCCTGTAGATGCTCTGAATGCTGCTCTTCCATAGGGCCCCAGGAACCAGCACTGCCCAGCCCCTCCACCCCAACCTTCATGCAGGGTTAGGCTTGCTCATCATTAGTGACCCAAGGCATGGCCACGACAGGCAAGAGCATTCCAACGCTCATTTGAGCATTCCATGGCTCAAACCCCTGGCAGCCCAGCTGCAAGTGGCAGTCCAGCCCTCCGTGCCCTCCGTGCAAAAGTGGACGTGACAGACACCCTGTGCAAGCCAGGCTAAGAAGAACACGTAGGCAAAGCTCCTGCCCTGTGCTGGCACAGCAGGACAGGAGCAAGTGGGACAGCTCTGTTTGTCAAGTCTGAAAATTGAGATAAACTCATTCCAGATTAATTGCTAGAGTCCTACATGAGCTTCCATGTAAGTCACAGATGTACTGCAGAACAGTGAGAACATCATTAGGGCAGGAAGATATGTGAGGGACAAACAACTAACACTCACTGGCAGCCATACAATTAGGCATGGGGTAATGCTGCAGCCAAGGGAAGAACTGACAGCTTCCAGAGGACTGCTGCATACCTGGGCAGGGCTCTGCTGCCAGCACTGGCTGCTGCATGACATCCAGCTGGGCAAGCAAAGTGGCCTGTCCTGTCCTGTCCCTGTTTCACAACTTCCTACTGTCCCTGCAGCACCAGGCAGGGAAGAAGCTGACTGTGTATCTGCCTCAGACCCACAGCTTGAGAGAACATAGAAAAGCCAAGAGAGCAAAGGAAAACGTTCTCTGCACTGGAGCAGACAAGAACATAGAGTAAATGACTTGAGAGACTGGCTACCTCTTTATGAGTGGGATCTTGGTGCTCCAGTTGTTGAAGGATCCAGAGATGAAGACCTCCTTGCCTCCATCAGCCCAGCGTATGACAGTCGGACGAGCCTGTTGGGATGGTTTCACTGACTCCTCCAGATCTGGCTGCCACGACACAAACTCCTTGTCCCCAGGAATCTGGGCAAAGAAGACCAGAGAGATGTGACTGAGACAGAGAGACAACTGTGAACACATTCACACAGCTGGGCCTCTACAGCTGGCCTCTACCAGCCCACCTGCACATCACACACAGGAGCACCACAGAGCTCCTCCAGGCTCCCAGCTCCCCAGAGACCCCCTGCATAGCCCTACACAGGCAGTGTGCTGAGGTGCTGGAGGCCAGGCAGGGAAGGGAGCAGACAGCCCTACCTTGGAGTCATGGGAGCTGAAAACGCTGGGGTCGTCAGTGCTGCCCACCATGATCTTGTGCGGGTGCTCCTTGGCGGGGTGGGAGGCACCGGAGCCGTCCGAGCGGTGGGACTTGGAGCCATGGCGCTCCCCGGACACCCGCTCGCTGGTGGTGTTCCCCATGACAGCTCAGCAGCCCCTGGCAGGGAGACACAGCAACACCCTGCCTTTGCCCTCGGGCTCTGGCAGCAAGCAAAAGAGCTGTCTCCCAAATGTTCTTTGCCAGTGGAGATGAACAGCAATCCTAAAAAAGGCCCCAAATTCATTTCCACTCCCAAGTTTGGAAGCTGAATGGGAAATCAACAAACAAGAAAGCTTGACCTAATTATAGCCACATCCTTAAGAACCATCATTCTAGTTAAGCTCGTAATTGTTAAGATTCCAAAACCAGTATGACTTCACCTGCGTCCCACATCAGCCCTCGGCAGCCAACAGAGTAGAGCTGACGGGAAAAAGAAAGCAAACCATTATTGGTAAACCAACCGCCTGGCGTTAACAGAGCCTCTTTCAGAGTCCTGCAGTCAGGCTCTAGAGACAGCCCAGCAAGAAAACAGCCACAGAGTGAAAGTAGCAGCTGTTTTACAGTCCCCAACGCGTCTCCAAGAGCTCGCAGGCAGAAGAGCAGAGCCTTGTGCCTGCAAAGGCGGCAGGGAGCATTTAAAGCGTCCGAATGGAATTGCCCAAGCTGGAGCTTGTCCAAGGAGCAGGGCTAATGCTGTGGTGTCTGCGAAAAGCTCAGCTCTCAGCAGCATTCACTTATGATTCACCAGGCAAGTCACTGTGTCAGCTGCAGCACAGCACACCAAGGAGGACCATTTGTTGGGACTTAGCCAGCACCTGCCCAGCTGTCTGGAGTGACACGGTGAGGGAAGGGCAGCTCTGGCCACCTCAGTGTCCCTCTGCAGCTGAAGCTGGGTCTCCATCCCCAGTCTCACCCAGCTCAGAGAAAGCAAAACAGGAGAATTGACCAAGCCATGAACAACTACACACCTTTTAGGATAAACAACAAAGCCACTACAAGCTACACAGGACTCTTCAGGCCTTACCCTCTTTCCAGGAGCCAAGATGGACTGGAGTTTTTGCCCACTTCCAGGCTTATTTTGCAGCTTACAGCTTACCTTGGGCTCTGCAGAGCAAGCAAGGAGACAGCCAGCCTTGCTTCATGTGCTTGCTTGTGACATTTGGAGGTTTGTTTAAAAGATCAAGTTATATGAAGAGTGCCAAGCGAGGCTGCCAGCCAAATCCAGGCTTTAGAACATTATGGAGCAATTACTATGGTATTTCTTAAATCCTGAGGGCTAAAAGGCAGCTCAAGTGGGCAGCTAAGCCATACCCCCACCCCTCTCAGGGCAGATCAAGTATACCTGAAGATCCAGGTCAAATGAGCTACACCTCTTGCTCTGACACCTTCCCCCTCTGCTCTGCAGAGGCTCAGACAGCTCCTCACAAAAACTGCCCCTGTGCCACCAGATCTGCTGTTGAGGAGTTTCCTCTCCAGTATCTTCACTAAGGCTCCCTTACTTCTCATCTACAGGGAGGAAGGTGGGAAAGGCTGAACTTCCCTTGTAGCAGGACAGACCTGGGAGATATGTGCAGGTGCTAACAGGTGTGAAGCTTCCCTTTCTCTTCTCTAAAAAACCCCAGTCCCCCTGTCCCTTACAGGTCACGCTCTCCAAGCACTCCCTGAGGTTTATCCCAGGCGGTGGCTCCTGTCTGCCGTGTGCCACCTGAATCCCCGACATCACACACACAGGTACCTGGTCTGTGCCCAGACAGGTCTTTGTGCACAGTCTGCAATACCTGGCTTTGCTGAATTAACTTTTACAGCTCAAACCCTCCTGCATCCAGGCCAGCCCTTGGAGCATTAGGAGATGGTGTGACACAGGTACACTCAAGTAATGGATGGAAATGCTGCCCACACCACAGCTCCACCAAACCTCCACGGTATCTTGGCACATCCGCTCCCAGTCTGGCAGCAAGCCCCTGCCAGCCACAGCCCACAGCAAGGTGGCTGCCTGCCCCATCACCAGGGCCCTTCGGTTCCAGCCAGCCCCAGCTTCTCATGTGGAAGATGACTTGTGAATTATGCCCGTTCCCCTCCCCGGGAAGCGGCCAGTGACCGCGCTGGGAAGCACGGGCAGGCAGCCCGAAGCAGGTGCGCAGAGGGATGGGCTGTGCCCAGCGGCACCGGCAGTGCATTCCCGGGGCTCTGAGGGTCCAGCACCTCGCCGGGCTGACACCGCCCAGGGAAGCCCGATCCGCCCGGATCTCCCTCTTTCGGAGACGGGAAGCAGAGCTGAGCCCTGAGGTCGCCGTGAGGGGGATGAGCTGGGAAAGCGGGGGCGGAAAATCTCCCTCCGAGCAGGCAGGGCTGGGGCTGGGGCTGGGGCTGGGGCTCTGCCCGGCGGGGGCGGCAGCGGGGCTCTCACGGCGGGCTCGGCCCACGGGCACCCGCGGGTCTGCCGCGGCCGGGGGAGGAGCGGGACACACCGGCAGGGGCCGGGCCCTCCCGGGAGGCTGCCGGGCGGGGTCTGCACCGCTACACCG